GACCGATGGTGCCAGGGCGAGCTCCACGTGGCCGGCACGGGGACGACGGGACAAGGTGGCAGGTCATTGCGATCGTGCAGATCGTTGAGCTGCGGCGCGAGTACCTCTTCGTCGGTCGCTGCCGCGATCGTGCTGAGCACGTGTGAAACCGCGTTGTTACAAAAGTTCGGCCACTATTCCCTTTACCTTTCCGACCTGTCTTTCGACTCAGGTCCGCGGTCATTGCTATTCCGCTTCCGTGGTTAGATGCTGGCAACCGGACGCGAGTCCACGACATCCGAGTCATCGCGGGGTACCCCGTATGTTAGCATGATCGTCGACGCGAAGAGCCTGAGAGCCGGCATGATTGAAATGACCTTGTACGAGGCCGTCCTACTCGCGATCTCGACCGACGTCGACTCGGCGATCGCGCTGGCCGCGGTTGCCAAGCGCCAGATCGAGGAAGGCGGCGTCGGCCAGGAATCGCGGGGCACCTGCGCGACATGATGGAGCTCTATGGCCCGCTCTACAGGCACCAGAACGAGGGCCGGGAGCGCTTCAACGACCGCCTGACGGGCCGCAAGAAGCGGCACTCGCAGAACGGCGGCGCGTGCAACCGCGGCGCCGAGCTCTGCGCGTCGCGCGGGGCGACGGTCGGCAAGTGCGACTCGATCGGGACGTGGGCCGGCCGCTCGTTGTGCACGGCGGATTGCAATCCACGAAACACGACCCTAAAAAACTTTACTCAGCCCGCGGCGCGGCGCGGCGCGGGCGGCTTCGCGGCGACGCGCGTCACGGTGACGCCGCGGCCCGCGGGCGGCTCCGCGGCCACCTCCGCCTTTTTCAGCTTCGCGCCGGGCTTGCGGCCCTGCAGGAGGTTCTTCACGTAGAGCTCGCCCGCGCGGTACGACGAGCGCACGAGGGGCCCCGACGCGACGTAGAGGAAGCCCATGGCGTCGGCCTCGTCCTTCCAGGCGTCGAACTTCTCCGGCGTCACGTACTCCTTGACCTTGAGGTGGCGCTTCGTCGGCTGGAGGTACTGGCCGAACGTGACGACGTCGACGCCCGCGTCCCGGAGGTCCGCGAGCGTCGCGCGGATCTCGTCGTCGGCCTCGCCGAAGCCGAGCATGATCGACGTCTTCGTGAGGACGCCGGCGGACGCCTTGGCGTGGCGCAGCACGTCCAGCGTCTGCCGGTAGCCCGCGCGGCGGTCCCGCACCAAGGGCGTGAGCCGCTCGACGGTCTCGATGTTGTGCGCGAAGACGTTGAGGCCGCTGTGGGCCACGGTCTCGACGCGGGCCAGGTCGCCCCCAAAGTCCGGGCTCAGCACCTCCACGAGTAAATTCTCGTTGGCCAGTTTCAGCTCCTTGACCGTTTCCGCGATGTGGCCCGAGCCGTGGTCGTGGACGTCGTCGCGGTCCACGGACGTGATGACGACGTAGTCCAAACCCCACTCGGCGACGGCCCGGCCCGTGTTCTTCGGTTCCTCGGGGTTGAGGGCCCGGGGCGTCCGGCTCGTCTTCACGGAGCAGAAGCGGCAGCCCCGCGTGCACGTGTCGCCCATGATCATGATCGTCGCCGTCGCCGTGTGGTCGTCCTCGTCGGGCTTCGAGCCGTCGTCCTTGCGCGCCGACTTGCCGCCCCAGCACTCGCCGATGTTCGGGCACCGCGCCTCCTCGCAGACCGTCGCCAGACCGAGCGATCGGACCGTGCCCCGGAGCCGCTCGTAGTTCTCGCCCTCGGCGGGCTGGGCCTTGAGCCACCGGGGCTTCGGGAGCTTGGCGAGCTTGCCGCCCTTGGTCGTCGCGGCGGCCTTGACGGCCCGCCGCTCCTCGTCCTGGAGCGTCTCGCGCAGGGCCGCGAGGCGCGACCCCGGCGCGGCGGCGCGGGCCGCGGGGGCGCTCAGCGACCGCCGCGCGGCGGCGCGGACGGACGACGCCAGCGACGCGGGAGCGCCCAGGGCCCGTCGGGGGACGACGGAAATGAGCCGCGTCGACGCCATCAGCTGCAGATGGAGGTCATCAAAGGTCAACACGGTTCAACTTGACTGCATCGACGCCATGAGGACCGTCTGAGGCAGCCCGCGAGCCAGTCGCGCTCGCATCCGCGCAGCCCGAGCGCGCGCCGCCGCCACCCAGCAGCGACGATGCTCCGCTTCCTGCTCCTCGCCGCCGCCGCATCGGCGCTCAAACGCGATGCGAAGCGCCCGCTCAAAGCGCTGCGCGCGCG